AAAGCTATCAAAACACTAGACTAGTATACACTACTTGTATTGAATATGTCATTTTTTTTCCTAGGTTACCTGAACCAAAGCCAGACAATTGAAAAAAAATTTTGTGATGGGCTCCTTGTTCTCCAGAGCTACAATACAACAAAAATTGGAGAAATGAATACAAAAACACCAAATAAAAATTATCAAACAATAAAGGTTAACACACTTGATATGTTAGCAAAGAAACAAAAATGATGCTTTGCACTTAAAAGTTGGTCGATTTAAAAATCAAGCCTAAAAAAAATTGAAATAAAACCAAAGTTGGGATCATTCAGTGCAACCATTTTAAAATTCCACTTTCTGTCCTTATTTTGGCCCTGTTCTACATTGTGCATCCCATTGTTAAATCCCAATCCTAAGTCCTGAAATGGTTTAGTAGTGGAATAACAAATGTGCGGCATGTGTGTACCTGGAAAGTCAGTGTCAACTTCCCCATCGTCCTCAGCCATATGCAAACAAAAAGATTTGACATCATTCTGAAAAGCGATATAAGAAAGGAATGTTTCATTTCCTTTGGGCAACAAACCAGTAAATTGTACTTAGCTCTCGCTAATATTTCTCAATAAAAATGGATAATGTCCATAAGTGAATGTCCTCTACACTAAAGCCCCTTTCAAAGGGTCATGATAATTGATGACAGTCAACAATATTTTTATTTTTCATTCACCAATTCATAGACTATCATGTTTGCCTTCAAACACTTCATGATAGTTGACAAAATCATGTAATGAAAGTGGGTAATTATAAACAAATATGGTGTGCACTGAGGTCAGTAAATTTGGTGGTATTTGAAATTTTATAGCCAAGAAGTTGCAAGTTGAAGGTACTGAAGCCTTCCAGAAGATGATGAGAATGACCTGAGAGACATTCTGCAAAATTTTGTGAGCTACTTAATAATTATAAGTTATTTTATAATTTGCCATTCCAGTTTGAACCTGTTTTTGGCAAAACTGCTGACTGAAGAGCTATCTTTCACTATCCACCACTTGTTCAAATGGAAAAAACTATCATCAACTATCATGTCAAATTTGAACATGTCCAAACTACATGATACATTTAGTTGATGATAGTGCATGATAGTTTGTGTTCTAACATGTGTGATAGTTGAAACTATCACCAATACTCCATTTTAAAGTTGTGTGCTTGGTTGCCAAGCCTTTGAACAGGAGTGAGGCTAAGGTTGACCTTGTTATGATACAAACCTTGCTGCTTTTTCAAATGCAAATTACTTTGTTGACATGCTTACTAGATACTGGCCTCTATCACAACATGGTCACCTTCAGCCTCACTCCAAATCAAAGGCTTGGCAATTAGGTGACACAACTGTAAAATGGCCTATTATCATGACTGTTTGTACAGGGCCACATCATAGCTAACATTTTGTACCTTGAGTGGAGGCTGTAATCCCTGGTTTGTATACTTGTACAAGATAAGTCCTATTAAGTCCTGTACACAGGCACTTCCTGTTCAAGTTGAGAAGTTAAAAAAAAAATCAGCTCTGTGCAATCACATAATCTTCATCTCTGCCATTCAAAGAGTAATTATGAATTCAAAATGTATCATCTTTTGTGCATATTTGTTTTATACCTAACACTGTGACAATCATTGGCATGGCTCTTTCTTCCTGCAGAATTAAGCATAAAAAAAATATCAAGTTAGTTCTCATAATGATCACTTATTTCTTGAATTTTGACTCAGTTCAAACTATCAATCATTTCATAAGACACTTAATATGCTCAACAGATTCTGTTCACTCCCAGAAGTGATAAACATGTAACTTTTCCCTTTCAATATTCCTATATTACCAGCAAACAGGTAATGAGAATTATTTAAACTTATCAGGTAGAAATTTTTACATTGATCTAACACCAAATTCCTGAAACTAACTTACAAGAAGATGAGTGGTGGCTGGGGGAGAATCAATAATCTTGCAAGTTTAAGGTTTAATCTAATTTTAATCAAAATCTTATTAAATAAGTCCACTCCTATATGTTTATCTCTGAGGTTATAACTGAGGTTATACAATCTATGTAATTATATTGATCATGAATACCTCTGGTAGCATAGTTAAAAATATCTTGAGTTTTTTGGTACAAGTTCCTTGGAAAGCCTGAAAAAAAAATTGACTTCTGTTTCAGGAGAATAGTTTCTTAATAAACACACAGAGAATGTGGACACTAATAGAGGTTACTATGACAACTTTAAGGGTTACATCCCTTCTCACCTCTCCTTCAAATTTGGAGTACTCCAGGAATGGATTATTTGGTTTACCACGGGATTCCTCCAGTTGTCTGCTGAGCTGAGAAACTGCCACTGGTTTATTTTTAACTGGTTTTACTTCGCGTTTGGCAAAAACTTTAGACAGATCTTCTTCTGGAAAAAAGAAATGTGTAGTCCACCTTTAATAATCTAGCCCAGCCAATATTATTTTAGTGGGAGATGGAGTGGCCTGATTGTTAATGAGCTGGACACTTGA